TATATATAATATATATTATATATATGGAATATTACATAATATTCCATATATATATAATGGATTATTACTAGGGCATAAAAAAGAACAAAACATTTCCATTTGTGACAGCATCATGGACCTTTAGGGTATCATGCTAAGTTTAATAAGCCAGATAGAGAACGAAAATTATCATATGATTTGACTTGTATGTAGACTCTAAAGAACAGTTAATGAATAAACAAAATTGAAACATAGATAGAGTGGACTGGTGGTTGAGGAACTAGGTGAAAGAGATGAAGTGGTTAAGAAGTACAATCTGGTAGTCACAAAATATTCCTGGTGATGTAAGGGGTAGCATAGGGTACTAGAAATATCAGGGGGAACACTTTGTAAAGCATATAATTATCTAACCATTATGCCATACAACTGAAATTAATAATAAATAACATTAAAGAAAACTAGTGGAAAACATTTTTTTTAAAGATTTACTTTGGAAGAACTTTAAAAGTTATAGATACCTAGGGCCTGGCTGGGTAGATCAGAATATACATATGGCATATAAGCTCATGGAAATATGTTCAACATTATTCATCATTAAGGTAATGTGAACTCTAATTATAGCAGTATTATTTACAGTAGTCAAGATCTGGAAACAGCCCAAGTGCCCATCAGTAGATGTGTGGATAAATAAGAGCTATGGTGCATTTATACCATGAAATACTACTTGGCTGTAAAAAAGAAAGAAATCTTAACTTTTGTGACAGCATGGATGGATCTGGAGGTTGTTATGCTAAGTGCAATAAGCCAGCCAGAGAAAGACAAGTACCATATGATCTCACTTATCTGTGAAATATAATGAACAATATATGCTGACAAAATAGAAACAGAGGCATAGCTACATGGAACAGACTGACAGCTGTCAGAGGGATGGGGGTGGGGCCAACTGAATGAAAGAAGGTGAAGGGATAAATCAAAGAATATATTGTATAAGTCAGACAGATAACAGCACAGTGATGGCCAGAGGGAAGTGGGGGCAGGGCATGAGTAGAGGTGGGTAAAGTGGAGGGAGAGGGGGATATCTGTGATAGTGTCAACAATAAAAATAAAGTTAAAAAATAAATTTGAAGATAAAAAAAATATACTATTACAGCCCCAAACGGTTTGGTTCAGTGGATAGAGCGTCGGCCTGCAGACTGAAAGGTCCCAGGTTCGATTCCGGTCAAGGGCATGTACCTTGGTTGCTGGCACATCCCCAGTAGGGGGCGTGCAGGAGGCAGCTGATCAATGTTTCTCTCTCCTCGATGTTTCTAACTATCTCTCTCCCTTCCTCTCTGTAAAAAATCAATAAAATATATTTTAAAAAAATATACTATTATACTTCTATTAAGATTTTTAAAGTGTAAAAATTCACCTTTATTAACACAAATGCAATTTTAACTAGAAATTAGGTAGACATCCTTCTCTTAAGCATATGCTATTTATGTATTTGTGTGTGCTATGAATTTGAAGAAATGTATTATATAGTGTTTAAGTGTTTATTGAAAATGTTTTTGTTTTACCTGATTGTACATTTATATATTTTATTTGATATGTTCTGGTTTACATATATTTTATTTTTGAATCTGCAGAAAAATATATCAAAATGGTTAAAAAAAGCAATAGAAACTATACTAAGTTTAGCTTGCCACAGAAAAAATAATGGCAAGAACAAGTGCACAATTTCAGAAACACAAAATCACTTTTGACAGCCACTAGAAAAAATGAGACTACTGCTGATTAATAAAAGAAATCTAATGCACTACTCATCATGGCCCTCCTTAGAAATATCAGGGATGGAGCTTTATAGGCATGGCTTCTGGACCAAACACTGATGACAAAGAAAACTAAAGGGTACTATAAAAGAACAATTTAAAGGTTTAGAAAAAGGTACACATTAAGACATTAAATGGATTTTACTATGAAATATATCAACTAAGCAATAACTATTAAAATGTGTATTCTTAATTACTTCACAGGATTAGTTGAATTTGGTGTAAAGTATCTTAGCTCCTATGAACATAAGATTTTTATAGCAGGAACATTTTTGTTAGAAAATGTCAACCATTTTTTCCTCCTGTAATATAACAATTTGCAACATTAGTGTTCTTTTTAAAAAATATATATTTTATTGATTTCTTACAGAGAGGGACAGAGATAGTCAGAAACATCGATGAGAGAGAAACATCGATCAGCTGCCTCCTGCACACCCCCTACTGGGGATGTGCCCGCAACCAAGGTACATCCCTTGACCGGAATCGAACCTGGGACCTTTCAGTCCACAGGCCCACGCTGAGCCAAACCGGTCAGGGCACAACACTAGTGTTCTTAAGTATTTTCTTAAACTGACATGAAGAAAGGAACCAATATATTAATTAAATATGAGTAAATATTAGTTCTTATGCAGCACCTAACATACATTGTTAGTTTCCCTAGTGTGTAAAAGTAAAATGAATTATTTGATCCATAAAGACAAAGGTTTGAAGATAAAATTGAAACTTTCCTTTATAGTAAAGATATATTCAACTTCTTATATACTTGTTTAACTATATTTAAAATAGAACATTTTTATTGAATTAAAAATAACAATATGATTGTATTATTGTTGATCTCTATCTTGATATCTTCCAGGAATTTATTTTTTTTATGTATTTGGGTGCTCCTGCATTGGGTGCATTTATGTTTACCAGGATTATATCCTCTTGTTGTATTAATCCCTTTAGTATTATGAAGTGGCCTTCCTTATCTCTTGATATGACCTTCACTTTGATGTCTATTTTGTCAGATATAAGTATTGCTACCTCAGCTTTTTTTTTTCAATTCCATTTGCTTGGAAGATATTTTTCCATCCCTTCACTTTCAGTCTGTGTGGATCTCTTGTTCTGAGGTAGGTCTTTTGTAGACAGCATATACATGGATCATGTCTTTTTATCTATTCAGCCACTCGATGTCTTTTGATTGGAGCATTTAGCCCATTTATGTTTAAAGTTATTATTGAAAGGTATTTGTTTGTAGCCATTTTTATTTTTTTTGTGCCAGTGTTCCTCCTTCCCTTTCTATTTCTTCTTTTTACACCAGTCCCTTTAGCATTTCTTGCATTGCTGGCTTG